GGAGCCCGATGTGGGACTCGATCCCGGGACTCCAGGATCATGACCTGAGCCGAAGGCAGTCGCTTAACCAACTGAGCCACCCAGGCGCCCAGTGATTGTAATTTTAAGAGAAAGCCATCAACACTGAATTTATTGGACCTCTTACTGTTATAAAGTAAATAGCATATACATTAGCAAAGATAAGATTCTTGGGTAGAAATGATCATTAGGTTTTTGATTCTTCAAATTCCATCACATTTGCTACCATTAGAAGCAATTTTTATTTATTTTAAAGATTTTATTTATTTGTCAGAGAGAGAGAGCACACACACACAAGTAGGGGGAGCAGTAGAGAGAGAAGCAGGCTTCCCGCTGAGCAGGGAGCCCGATGTGGGACTCGATCCCGGGACTCCAGGATCATGACCTGAGCCAAAGGCAGTCACTTAACTGAGCCACCCAGGCACCCAAAAGCAATTTTAAAATAGGAACTTTTTTAGGAAAATGAAGTATGGAACATGGGAGTGAGAGGCCATGTCAGCAAGGAGGAGAGTAATAAAACTCAGTAATGGATGCTAAAGGGGAAGCGGTGGGAGTATAAATTGTAGTTCAAGAGTAAAACTAAATGGTAAGGGCTAGTCACTTCTTTGATGTTTCAGAGGACTACTTGGGAATGACTATTATTGTCATCTGGGGATCTGTCAACATTTCTTTTCCTTTGGACTCTTTAGAAACCATAGGTAGAACATTTTCATAGTCAAAAACTGGTATCTTAAAATCACCTTTTCTTCTACTTATATTTATTTGGTTCTTTTGTTTGACCCACAGATAGAAGACTTTCTCAAAATTCTACATGAAGTTGATAAAACTCTTGCTGATGACCTGGAGCAAAACTTCCCAAGTTTGAAGGCTCAGACTTAAACACTGAATTGGAGTTTCCTCTGCCCAATAAATGAACTTTACTTTCTGCACTGACAGTTGAAATTGACATATAGGAGATGTTAGGTAAAGCTTATTGGACCCTCATTGTCTGGCATTACACCCGTACATACCTTCTCCCTGCCCCAGTCTTCTCTCACTTTCATTTGGCATTGGAATCTGGAGTTTCCTCTGCTGTCAAATCCACCCCCCCTGACACACACACTTTTTTTTGTATGGTTTTGTGTTAGTTGTCCTCTTTAGGTAAAGAAAACAAAAATACAAGCTTATTATTGAAGTTCTTTCTAGGTTGAGGACTTGGTAAGGATTTTCTTCATACCTCTTAATTTGATTTTTACATGAGAATTTTGTATTTGTCTCTACTGCAAGTACATTCAGCTGCACTAGTAGAAAACCCTACTCCAGGAGCTTAATCCGATAGCTTTTATGTATCTAATGCAATAAGAAATCCAGGGGTGGGCATTCTAGACCTGATTTGTTGACTCAGGGATCCTGATTCCTTTTACCTCTCCATGTGGTCTGCATGTAGACCTTTGGGTTCATGTTTATTGTCTTGTGGTTAAGGGGGATATAACATCTCTGGACCTTCCATCCCCATTCAGACAGGAAAAAGGAGAAAGAGGTAAAGGGGCTTTGTCCTTGGAAGTCTTTTACCTTCATATTTGTAAAGGACAGCCCTCATTGCCCAGACCTGTGCTGATGGCCATCTCTAACTGCAGCTATTTGAAATCAAGTCTTTTTTTTTTCTTTCTAGGGTCTATAAGAGAGAAAGGCACAAAGAGAAGGGAGTTGTGAAAGGCTTTTTGATAGTCAATCTGTGATGTTTGCTACAGTATGAAAGCACATCTTGGCCTTTTGTGATTATTGTGTCGATTGTATGCCAGATGGTCAGTAACATCTCAAAAGCAGTTTTTAGTTTAGCTTTGTTACAGTTTAATTTTTTTTCACTGTTGTAGGTATGAAGATATGAAGATAGAAATGTAACATTTTGATGAAAGCACATTAGCAAATTTTCTGTTTTCAGCATAATTCCAGTGGTTGAATTTCAGAAAATGATTTGCTTGAGTGAATTCAGATTTTTTAAAATTAAGATGGAGTTTAAGAACTTCAGACTCTATGCAAACTGCTATATGTGATTTCCCTCACATATACTTTTATCCTTCTGTATAGTGCTTCAGAATGAGATCTGTGCAGAGAGTCAGCCAGGTATTCTTAGGGAAGCAGTTCGCATTATTTAATTACTAAAAGTAGAGTTTTTAATAGATTTTAAGAAAATAGCAGTTATGAATAACAAAGCTAGCTTTTTACCAGTCTTCAAGTAGTCTTCTGGATTATTTACGCTGATGTGACTGTTAATCTACTTTTATTTGTGGAATGAAGTGAGCTTCGGATCCTCTTACTCTGCTATCTTTCCAGCCTCCTCCTTTGCTTAAAAAGCAAAGCCAGCTTCTTAAACCCCTCTTCTGGTATACAGCCCCTTCTCAATTTGTTGCAGAATGTTTCTAGCTTTAGAAACATTGGTCTTGTCTCACATTCTGTATTTTTTCCTTAAGTGACTTTTGCTGATACAACACAGGATGTAGCATTACTGAGAAGAGATACACAATTTCCAGTTTGGAGGTAGTTTTATTGTTGAAAATATTCCTGAATTGAACTATAAAGTTAAAATCTTACTGTTAACTCTGATTAGTAGGTTTACGCTGTATGTTTTCATGTCTTGCATGCTGACTGTATCCTAGGCTGAATGTGACTGTATTTAACATGAGATCTCAAAGGCACTGATAAAGTCACTCTTGCCTGTGTAAGCAAACTAATGTGAGTTCGCTCCTTGGTGAATTACAGATAGAGACTACACCAGGTGGAGCTGTCACACAAAGTAATCTTTCTTTGCAGCAAATAAGGAGGTCATGGAGAGTAACTTCCAAAGCTGTGATCCCTGAGCAGGGGTAAGGGAGCTCTTTTTATTTAGGATTTGAGAGAATATTCAAAAGGAGACCTTTATCATTGCAAGCACAGGCGGGTATAAGGTAACACATACATACTTAGAAATTATGCGTATACGTGCATCGTGTGTTACGTAAGGAAGCTGTGGTCCTTCTGGAGCAGAGATCTTAACAGTATGATGAGGCGGAGGTGACTGCTGGACACTTTATGGCCCATCTGCACAGGTGTCGGCTTGGTGGTTGAGCCCAAACTGGCTGGCCGGAGCTCATCCCTCCTTCTGTTGTTAGTTTCTAAAAGATAAAGCTACCAGTTCCTGTAGGGTGAGCTCAGTGGATCTGCCAGTGACACCTGCTAGCCAGTGCTAAGAATTCCATTTTATCTCTTGAAGTCTAGGGTGAAAGGTACAAATAACCCTGTAAGAGTAATACTCCCGAGTTATTAGTCATGTCTACTTCAGTGCATATGAGTTTCACATTTTGTTTTAGAAGGAGCACATTTTAAAAGGGAAGCCGAAGGCCCCTGGGTGTCTGAGGGAAAGAGTGCTACTCAAAGTGGGTAAGTCACCAAGGGAGAAAAAGGATATACCTGGGAAGGCTAGGGATGTCCAGGTTATTTTCTGTTTCCCATTTCTGCCTTGGACCTGCCCTGTTGCTTGTTACTAATTGCTCTTGTAACATCATGAGGTAGTGTATATTTTCATATTTTGATGTGTTTGAAAACTTCCTAGATCTATAAATTATAATAGTTTTTTAAAGAAATAAGATATGAGCAATGCTAAATCTTTTTTAATGCTATACAGTCTGATGAAACACCCCCAAATTTTAGGGCTTGCATCAATTACAGTGATATTTTGGAATGGTGCTTTCTCCAGGAGCCTATATATGAAATTTGGAATTATATGTACAAATGAAATTCAAACTTTTCCTCTCCTTTGTTTCAGAGGAGGGGAAACGTACAAAATGAACTTGGGTTAACATTTGTTAAATGTGTTGTTCTATTTCTAATTAAATTTGAGTTTGATTTTTGAAGTATCTAAACCACTCAAGACCGAACACATAAGACATATTCTCCTTCTAACCCTCCCCCTGTGGTCTGCATGGAGGTACAGATAGAAGAAGTCATGCCACCTGTAGCGGATTTGATCATTGTTCTCAAGTCTTCACCTCTGTGTACCCATTCTCATGCCATGGCTTCTCAGTGGGTAGAGTATACTTCTCTGTTCCTTGACTTTGAGCTTGGCCAAGTCACTTTGCTTTGGCCAATAGAATGTTGTTTTTCTTTTTTCACTTGTTTAAATATATATTTAATTACATATTAAATATATAATTATTTATGCTAAATAACACTTAAGAAAAGGAAGAGGATTGATATACATCTCTATATCTATATATCTACAGATATATATGTAGATACAGAAAAAAACCCGACCCCAAACATAAGTCAGTTAAAAGCAATTTGAATTTTCCATTCTTCACTCATTTTGGTTAATGAAGGTTTTACTTTAATATACATGAGTGTGCGTGTGTCTGTGTGTGTATGTGTGTGTCTGTGTCTGTGATGTTTCGATATAGTACTCTGTTAAGGGTCTACACCTATGCTGTTACCAAGTGCAGTATCCTCTAGACACATATGGCTACTGAACATTTGAAATGTGACTAGTCCAAATTGAGATAAATGTAAAATACATATTGGACTTTAGGAAAAGTAATAAGAAAAAATTAATATAATATTTTTCATCAATGTTTTATATGGATTACATGTTAGATGATAATATTTTGGATATATTCAGTTAAATACATTATTAAATTTAATTGGATCTTATCTTTCTACCTTTTTTTTTTAAATATTGTTGTTGTTGTTTTTTTAATTTTTTTATTCTTATATTATCCCCATACATTGCATCATTAGTTTTTGATGTAGTGTCCCATGATTCATTGTTTGTGCATAATACCCAGTGCTCCATGCAGAACGTGCCCTCCTCAATACCATTCACCAGGCTAACCCATCCTCCCACCCCCTTCCCCTCTAGAACCCTCAGTTTGTTTTTCAGAGTCCATCGTCTCTCATGGTTCGTCTACCCCTC